AAAAAAAAAAAAAAAAAAAAAAGTTTCCTACTCACCATAATATAACTAATTTCAAAGTTTTTTTTTTCTTTTTTATAAAAAAAAAAAAAAGATATTTAATATTCTAAAGAAATATGTTTTGTAAATTTCGAAGAACGTAGTCTATAAACTAATGGTAAATTTAAATATTCTATTTGATTTTTTATCTTTTTTTGTGCAAGTCTTTCTGAATATCTTCTAGGTGGTTGAACATTTTTACTACGATCTTTAATTTCTGAATGAAGTGGAGCGTGAATAAAAGTAGGTGATTGAATGGATTCACGTCTTTTACTTTTCCTTCTTTTATTTAATAATTGAATATCATAAGTTGGTTTTAATTTTTTGGGTGTTCCCAATATAGTTTTTGGAAGTGATCTGATGGGTGTTTCAAATTGATTTTTATTTAAAGGTGATAGAGGTTTTACCTAGCGATCAGATATGAAGCATCAAGTTTAGTGGCTTCCTTGGTAATCACTTTTAAATCTCTTACAGACCGACGCCTTCTTTCCAATTTTCCTTACCTCTTGAAAATTTCTCGACATCCTTCGTGTTATAGGAGCGGTTCGAGATTGGTGTTTAGGGCCATTATTTGGAATGTTGACTCGAGCGGAGGTGTTGATGTTATTGATCCCGAGCGTTTGAAGGTTTCCACTTGGGTTATTTTGAGCTCGATAACCGCTGCACTGAAATCGTGGAGGCATAATAGGTTGATAAGATGTGACGAGTTGAATGAGATCAAAATTATTTGATGATCAATCTGTTTGACCTTGTTCGTATGAAGTTAAATTTGAAAAAGGATGAAATGCGATTGGAGAGCTCAAGAGATGGCGCAAGTCGAATTGCAAGTAAATTTTTTTTTTTTTGGGGGGGGACGGAGGCAACTTTATGAGGACGAGAGTCTGGTAAGAGAGTACTGTTCATGAGTTTTAAAATGGAAGATAAGGCCCGTTCAAAGGCGTTGGAAGCCTTTGAACACGCTGGATCCGTCCACGCTTCCTGGGCAACAGTCTTGAATCCGTTCTCTTTGTGAAGGTGGATCCTACGCGTGAATCCTAAAATCCGTAGAAAGGCCCTTGTGATGTTACGCAAAAGCTGAGCCCAATAAATAAATCTTGGGTTGAGCAAATAATGTACAGCTCACTTTCGCCATTGTTGTCATTTACTTTTTTTTTTTTTTCTCAACTGTCTGCTCACTTTGTCTTACTTTGTTTGACTGAAACTGGTGATACAAACTTTGCGTCCAAGGCTGAATTTGATTCTGATGGTGGGTCTTGATGGAT